ATTGAATTTTTTTTTAAATGAAAAGAAATTTTTTAAAAGGTTACATTACTCTCTTCACAATTTCACTCATACCTTTAGAAAGAGATTAAATTATGTTTTCTAAAGCTTAATGCCTTTCCAGGTTTACCTGTGCCATCTTGATCTGCAGGTCTTCTGCCATTGCAAGATACCAAGCATTCACTCCAAATCTTCCTGAGGCCACTTGCCTGATGGCAGATCTGGTGTTGTTGTCACTTCCTCTCACTGGATCCTCCCCACCTTCACCTGTGTTGCTTTTACCACCCATCCTAATCAAAGAAGAAATCAATGTTCCTATCCACAAACTATTACATATTTTACAATTACCAGTACTTTTTTACAAATATGATTTTCCCTCATTTATGGCCAACAGAAGAATAACGAATATAGAAACTCATAAGTCATTGATGGCCAAATACATTTCAAAAACAAAAACAAAAACAAAATTAAACAAAACAAATAATGCAGATCTGAAATCACAACAGAGGACAATTACAGCTTTTCATAAACAAAGAGAGTCAGTTTTTAAGTCAAGGGGCTCCCAGTAGTGTGATATTTTGCTAAACACTGAATGAGATCAGGAGTGCGTCCTTGTATAGTGACTTTTGAACTAAGAGAGAAGTCTGAACTAGTTTCTGATAGATAGTGTCTGCATCTAATTAGGGAAAGGTCTTCTCCCCAGAATCTGTATATAGTGTTTGTGAAGGGAATTTAACCCGAGTTTGAAAGAGAATTTTTCTTTTATGAGAATGGCTATAAGGAAGGATCCAATTACATTCAATATACACTAATAAATCAGACAAGTTCAGAAAAATTAAACATAAATTCCTACTTACTTGTTCATGGCCGTAGCAAGAGTCGAGTGGGTTTCATATGAAATGGAACCAAAACTCATGGCACCTACAGAGAAAATCAGTAAGACAACTTTCATACAGAAAACAAGTTCTTAAATACTATTTCACCTATACATACTTTTGAGAAATAAGTAAAAGAAGGCAAAAGAATGGTTTTTAAACAAACTTTATGGTGGTTTTTGTCACAGATGGTTTAATTTCCTGCTTACCTGTTGCAAACCTCTTGACAATCTCTGAAGCTGGTTCAACTTCTGAGATGTCCAGAGGTTTCTCTGCAAATTTAATCTTCAGCTGTCCTCGGAGGGTGCAGGAACGTACCTACAGTATTCAGGACATACATAAATGACAAGCTTAAACAAGACTACTAGCAGATGTCCAAAATAAAGCAGACAATTTTTCACTAAAAAATCTACCCACCACTTCAATTGATGTCTCACTATACTTTTGATAAGCAGGTTGGCTATTCATTCTTACAGCATCCTGTACAAAAACAATACATATTAAAAGTGTATGATATTGATGGATGCTACATCTCATATAAAACACACCGACACCTTGACTCTTTCTATTTCATACATGATCCAAGCAATAATCTAAGCTATGCAATATTCCCTGTTTTACACTCCTCTTACTTCTCATAACCAATCCCCTTCACTTTTCACAGTGAAATTCAAAGCAGAATTTATATACTCATCACTCTCTAGGTGGAAGGTCAAGAGGAAATGTGTGGCAGAAACTTTGCAAGAGAAGTTATACTGTTTCTATTCCCATATTGAGTAAGGTGATGCTCTAGTTATTTTACAAAGAACATTTTAAAACCCAAGTGAGGTAGTTTAATCGAGTACTAGAGTGTTTTAGAAGCTAACCTGCAGGTTTGCAATGCATCTGGGATCATTGATATGCTTTTCTCCTCCCAACCGCCAGTGGTACTCACCCTAAACACAAACCAGTCAAAACATGATTCACGTCAATTTGACTTTGTACACAGTTTAAATTGAATAAACCTTTCATTCAGTCTTCCTAATTGTACACACATTGCTATCGTGGAAGTGCACCAGGGAAGTATCACTAAGCATGACCTGTGTCTAAGTAAAAAGTTTTAGGGCCAGTTATTTTAAACAAAGTTTAGCTGTTGTTTAACAAAACCACACTCTAAACTGTCTTTGTTTCAGCCATACCTTTTATGTGAACATGTCAAAGGAGATTTCTTTAATTAAATCAACCCTCCAATAGAGTAAACTCGCAGCCCATTGTTTGCGTAAAACCATAGTTAAGGTTAGAACTCCTTTAAATAACTGTTCCTAAATGTCCAACAACCCATGAACACTCTCAAGTACCTTGTTGTTGATGAGGACATTGTCACATTCCCTATCCGAAAATGCAATACTGTGCTTGTCCAATGCCTGTAAAATAGGAAGCCATAACTAATTATAATCTTACACTTACACTAAACTGATCACTTTTTAGGCATATGCCATTGAACAGCCTAAGGGACTGTAAGTACCCACCTCTTGTGCTAACAATTCAAATGTCACTCCACTCAATCGTGATGCAGTTCCTGCAAAACACTTATCCACCACCTGCAAGACAAGAAAATAATTTTTTTTAAATGGTTTCAAAGAAAACAGCATCACTGTGTTTACTACAACATTGGGTGCCTGAGTAGTCTTTCAGGGAATTAAATGTTATTCCATTCCAAAAAAAAAGCTACCAAACAGAAAAACTTTTCATTAATCAGACATATCAGGTGGTGATAATCAGAGTGAAGTTCATAAAAATGCTAATTACTTGCGAAGATAAAAATTCAAACAACATTCAGAATTCCAAATTATTTGTAATACATAACTAGAAATTTTTTACCTCCTCTGCAAGCCCAACTGCTTCAAATATTTGTGCACCCTATCAAAATATGATCAGTACTAAATGTTAATGCCTGACTGGGTATTACAGTCATACTTGGAAAGCTTTTAGCAAATACCTGAAATCTTTGGAAATTTTTACCATGTTAACACAATCTCAGTGGTGAGCAAGATACATCAGAAAACCATGAAACAGTACAGTAATTACTGTCACTACTTACAGCTTCATTCTATCATTTCTAGTTCTGCCTTTTGTTCTAATGAACTAACCAGGCAGTACTAGGATACAGCAACATTCCAGAAATGTTTATGAAGCCATTACAACTTCACACTGATTTAAGTGTGTCATTTGAAAATGGGTTATATTGTTGGATGTTGTGGCTTCAAGGCTTGAGTTGTTCCTCTGGACATTCATTTCAAAGCTTATGCTGATCCACTGAAAGTGAGTTGAGTAAGTTTGGTTTCCTTCATTTGGGAAAAGGCAACATCTTTTCAATGAAGACCTGAAGCATTCTTAAAGGAATGGACCAATAGCACAATTAAGCGGACTTGAGTAGGGGAGTTTAATCACACTGTCCTATTGTTCTTGAAGTACTGCATGTGTATAAAAAGACAGGACCTTACTTTGTAACTGTGAAGTGTAGAAATCCCCATTTTTGCCATGACCTTTGCTATGCCTTTTTTCACAGCAAACATATAGTTCTCAACTATTTCCTTATCTGACAGAGGAGGATCCAGCAGGCCTTAACAACATAACAAAGGAAGTACATCAGTAAAGCTATAAAATTATTTGAATTACAGTCTTATGAATAAGAAATGCTGCAAATAGTTTGAACCTAACAGTAACAACCTCATCAGAAATAATCTTTAAAGCTATGCGGGACACCATCATTTGACTATGCCACCTCATGTGCCTAGTCTCATAGAACACCATGGTGAAAGCTGATAAGTCTAGGGCCACACAGGTAGATGTGAGATGGTCCCGAAAAACAGTTGTCCAGCCCCACATTTGTGGGGCTCTGTTGCATTTTGCAGGAATATGAATTCTAATGGTACACTTCAACTTAAAATGAATCATGGCTTTCTTGTTCTCACTCAAAGAAATAACGGAAAGAGTTTTTTTACTGTAAAATCTTTTTTTTAGTTGTCCAGTGAGCCATTCTTATGTAATCACCTCCTATCCAGGTTAAAAAATAATGACTGAGTAAGGCTGCACTTGCTCACTGCTTTCTGATTGTGACCAAAAACCAAACATCTAAAGGTTCTGGCCTCCTGCCCAGTCAGTAAAGTACATTATTGACAATACGATAACTTCCTCTCAGGCGTTTCAAAAGTCAGTGGATAAGGCTAGCCTTAACCAGAAAATAACAGTGAACAACTTGCTATAAACAGTGATCACAACACCTTGTTTGATACTATACCTTGTTGTCGCTGATTTACAACAGTCTCAAAAACCAGGTATGGACAAATACCATCTGCACCGTAACCCAGCAGAACACAGAAGTGATGGATTTCCCTGTAAAGAAATAAATGAGCTGGTGTAATTGCCATCCTATAATATCCAACCACACAAGTTTAAACAAACTGAGTAAAAGTGAAAAAAAAAGAAACAAATACTCTGTTTTTGAAATAAAAAAATTAGATGGAAAAAAATTCCTTACCTTACTTCTGCTGACTCAACAATCAGTCCAACCTGTGACCTTTGCTTCATTCTGATCAGATGATGATGAACTGCCCCCAAGGACAGTAATGAACTGCAATACAAACAGCAAGAAGGATTTAGTGATGCTTTATATGGTCATAGAAACCAATTTTTCTTTCTGCACTTATGGTGTAGCAGGCTCTTCAGAGTATTTCAATTCACTGACAACTCAATTAAAATAAACCACTACCGGCATGCACAAGAACATGGCCACAAACATTTGAAAAAAAAACCAAAGGAACATGATAACGAACACTTGAAAAACAAATTGAAACTGCACTAAATCCAGAAACCACTTTGGTCTCCATGGTAAGATGAAATAAGGATTCCACTTTAAAATTGTGGAAAAATTCACCAATTTAAGAACTTTTATTCCAAAGCGGTATAGCAAACCATCTTTCCACTTCTTAGTCTTTTTCCTCAGTTAAACTGAAAAAAACATGTCACCCTATGAAACACTGTTTTTTATGGTTTCCTTTTATACATTTTCCTCTTTAACCAAGGTTGTTTGAGTAGAGGCAAATGAGCAGCCATTTTGCTCAATTCAAAGACAGGCCAAGTGGCCAGCAATTGAGCATATCAACTAATAATTCACTGTATCCTTTTCTAGTTATTATCATTTTATTTTTGTCCTCTTTTTTTTCAATCTAGTGAAAAGAGTTTAACTTGGAGCATTGGAAACATCACCTCATAGGGACGTGGTCCCTTCCAGCAGTTCTGTCAGATAACACAATAAAAGCACATCCATTTTCGACAGCTTGAGAAGCCTGGTAACAAAAAGAGGAAAAACAAGATTAGTGTATGCTGAAAGGGAAAAAAATGCCATKKAWTWKKAWWAYAAAAYMMGCGAATAAAAATCTTAAAGTTATTCCATCAGCCTTAAACTTAACTACCTTTAACTTTTTCAGTCCTTTGATCTGGCTGCTAATGTATCAACTGATGACCTTACATTGTTTATCAGATTAACTGCATACAATGTATGTTTCAAGGGTATCAAAATTGTTACGACAATTCATATCCTCATCACTCCTGGCGGTAAAGTGACACTTGAAATTCTAACAAATAGTCTAAAGTAAGTTGACATACCTCCTTACAAATTCTATCAAGTGATGGAACAAGACCATTTACTCCAGCTTTCACAGGGTACACCATCTCAATAGTCTGTGTCTGAAAATGAGACAATTTGGATATATCAACAAAGTTGAAATGGTAAATTGGCCACATGTGATTAGAACACAACCCTTGCGTGCTTTAAGGCTCAAACAAAGTTGCAATTCCTAGTTTGTGTGTACATACCTTACACCAGGATAGACCACTTCCTTTGATTGCCTGTACATCAGCATTAGACAGAATTGGGTGGTCTAAGTACACACGGGGGCAGTCTGCAACATCAGGGTCAAGGAGATTTGGCTCTGGTCCAACAGGGCAAGCCTTGTAATAAATGATACAATTATAATTATTTATTGCTAGATGTAAGTTAACTATAAAACACAGTACAAGGAAATTGGACTTTCCTTTTTATCCTAAAAACTAGTAATACTGAACCTTACAACAAAGAGGAGCATTCATCACAAACATGTGATGAGACTGGTAGCCTCCACTAATTGTGGTCAGGATTTGATTTCTAGACCTGGCATCACATGTGGGTTGTATTGCTTTTGTCATGGAGGAAGAGTCACCCAATGGAAGTGCCCTTTCTGAAACACATTTTTTACAGAAAACTTTCACATAACTCAAGTTCAAAGCGGAAAAACCTGTTGAAGACTTACCAGTGACATGACAATTTTCTCACGGATTGGATCAATTGGAGGATTTGTCACCTAAACCAAGATGAAGCCATTGTCAGATGTCTAAAAAACACTATGCTGCCATCATGGTTGTTTCCTAAATAGACCTTTGACGTGTCAGGGGTTTAAGTAGCATCTTAGAGGTAAGACCAGGGAAAAGATAAAAGGCTGATGAATTATTTCCAACAACTTTTTGAAAAATGTTTGAACCAGTTTACATATGTTCCAACATCAAGCAAACTAGCTTTGATCACATTTCCACACTTCAAATAACATCAAAAATTCTCCTTGAAAACCTTGTTACTGGCCTCACAACAAATTGGTCAGTTGCTTAAATTTAACCAGAAATTGGTAGTCTACTGGGAGCCATCTTGTACTGAAAACCATGTGTTTCCTTAGTAAAGTAGGGCATACCACTGTTTCTCCAAGTACAGAAACTCACATTATTGTTGAAAAAGGAAAGCCTAACTTTGCCTCAGTGAAAACATAGATGTTGGACTGCTTTTTCTACGAACTTACAGTACATATAGTGACTTTAAACTAGGAAAACCTCACATTTACATGTATGACAACATACCTGTGCAAAGAGTTGTTTAAAATAATCAAACAGTAACTGTGGGTGCATTGTCAAGCAGGACAACGGTGCGTCATTTCCCATGGAACCAAGAGCCTCTTTCCTAAACAACAATCAGAGTATGAAATAAAAGAAAACCTTTAACAAACCCCATGTAGCTGGTAAGACCAAAGAATCTTCTGTCAAGGGGCTGTAATCTGTCTACAATACTTCAAAGTGCCATCATTTTGGGCACCAAGTAAGATACAGACAAGTTTCAGTAACTAAATTTACAACTAAATTTGCCAATTTTGTGACCTGCAGCAAGCTGTACGGTCCAAAGTTAAAACTGAATAAATATTGGCATAAAAAACCATTTAGTGAACGCTTCATCATTTTCTTTAATTAAATTGCAATCTTATTCATGGTTGTCCAAGTCTTGAGTCTGGATATGTCACTTGAGCCTCCAAAAACAATAACCAGCAAGTTTCTTTTTCCTTTTTCCAAGGAGAGATATTTCATTTCTGGTGACCATATTTTATTTTAGGTGGCCAAATGGAACCTTGGAAAAAAGTTGAGATTGGAGCCCCGAATGGTTTACTACCCTATCACAGGTTGCACACTAGCCTAACATTCTTAACTATTGATTTCTCTGAATTAAACTGCTTAAAACACCAGCTCTTTTTAAAACTCTTAATATGTGGCTTACCGCATTAACTTGTTATTTCCATTAACTCCAGTTCAACTGAGGACTGAAATATTTTCACGTATAGTTATTTTCCCCACCTTCTTCAATTTGTGGCCAAATAAAATTTCTCTTGATACACAATTGACAAGGACATAGATTTGAAGATCCTCTTACTTGTTCTTAACCATTGGCAGAATCAGGATGTTCAGATCTTCCAAGGAATAGCCAAACATTGGCAGTCTCTTGTCTCCATGAATCAACTCATTCTGCGAGGATGCCTGGATCAAAGGCACTTCGTCTGCAGAAAGATTCTTGGAAGCATAGTAGGCTTGGTGAATATCTTCCAAAGTCTTTACATTCTTTTTCAGCAGCTCACCGCAAGGCCGCAGACTGGCCATTCTGTGTTTCAGCTCATGATCCTTGACAACAGACCCCAACTCTGTGTCAACCAGAAGCATTCTTCCAGGTTGTAAACGACCCTAGGAAAAGAAAAAGATTCTATGTTCTTAGGCTATCGAGCATTTGCAATTATTTCACAATTACATTCCATTTGAGCACAGCAATGTTTGAAACCTTTGTTTCACTGTTTACATCAGAGTTTGTTTCCCAGACTTAGCATCCATTGTAACTTGAGTTTGCTGTTTAGTTCTAGTTAAGCCCACAAGTCTTTTTCCAGGTTCTCAAGTTTTCCCCTTCTGTGAAAATACCCCAAAAATCCAATTTAATGTGGATTCAAAGGATTTAGAACCACCCTGTAGATGTGCAGCATCACTGATAAATTCTATGAATTAATTAACTTATTATTCAGCAAATTACTTCATGTTCATCTTGAACATTTCATGTTTTACCTTCTGTACAATTTCTTGATCAGGGAATGTACTAACTCCAACCTCACTTGCCATGACCATGAAGCCTTGCTTAGTCACATAGTATCTTGATGGTCGCAGTCCATTCCTGTCCAGGATAGCTCCAATATATCGTCCATCAGAGAATGTAAACAAAGCTGTCATTGAGCAATGAAATTGAAGTCAGGTTACAAAACAGTAAGCACTGTTTGACTAAACTTTTACCGTATTTATTTGTCTATAAGCCAAGCAATTTTTTCACAAAACTTTACTAAAATCTCGAAAATCGGAGCTAGAGAAGGGTCTCCGGCTTATAGCTGAGTATCGTTCCAAACAAAATTTTTCCAAAACAGCACATTCAAAGAAAACATAGATTTATTCATCTATAAGCCAAGATACTGCATGCAGACATAAATAACAAAACATGTTGAAATTGGTCATTGACTTTTATTTTTGTGGCAGCTCCTAAAGGAGCCATTTGCTGTTTTCAACATGCAGCAAATACGGCTTACTGTTTGTCCTCAGTGTCAGTGTCGAATTCGTTGTCCATCTCCTCCTCATCCGCTTCGTCTTCTGCTTCTTCTTCTTGTAGACTGCTTAATCTTCTGTGCCATATAGAGCGTTAGAGTTTCCGCAGGTTATGAACCAGTGTATGGATCTTGCTACATTGTTTTGATGATTACAAAACTGACCAATCAGAATTTCCCATTCCCATGACTGGTAAACAGACTAGCCACATGATATGGTGTTGAGATTTGCGATCACGTAAAACTAAAACTTACCTTGGCTTCTCTGCTCAGTACATCACTCAAGTAATCTCTCAGCCAGCTGCAGATATTACGGAGTGCAACGGCCCATCGTTGTGCGTTTCGCTGACATCTTTAGCTCTCCATTAACAAGGTTCTCTCGATCTTTCCTCCAGCAGTAGACCATAGACTCACTGGTTAATCTCGAAATTATTTTCGATGGCAATACTGCATTGAAACACTTTTCTGTTTCAAAACTCTTGCGTTCATTTCTGATTGTTTGAGAATGGAATTCTCTAAATATTGTCTCTACTTACAGCCAATTATTTTCAATTTACATGTTTTAAGAGCCTTCCAGATTAAAACACAAGTTGGCTTGTAGATGAATAAATATGGTTATTGTACTGTGATCAAACTGGCAGATAATGGCTTGATGATTTTAATAAAAACTACTGCATTTCTTCACCTATAAGCCGATCTCGGCTAAAAGTCGAGACCCTGAAAGTCAGGGTCTCTCCGCTAGACTCGAGCTGCCCCCCAAAAAAGTAAAACCATCTACTATAAGCCAAGAGCAAACTTATTGATTGTAACTGGCCATTTGAGCAAGTGAACCTCACCGTAAACATAAGAAATTGACTCACTAAACACAAAACCTAATGAATTACAATAAACACAAAAGAAAATAAACGAACCAATGAAGAGATATGAATATCAATTGATCCAGCGATGTGCATAAATACTACCCCGTGACAACAGATCAACCACAACAACAATATCAGTTAAACGTTTCAAAGTATCAATCGATTGAGTATCCCTTTCGTGGAGCATCATCAAGTATCCCTTTCATGCATAAAGCACAACGTTCCTCGTATACTATGGCTTTCAAGATAAAAGTTATCACAGAAGCTGAAGCAGTAGAAAACAAATCAGAAATCGCTTGAGAATATGGACTAAGCAAGTCTGTTAAGGACGATTTTCCCAACTTTAGAAAATAGTTAATGACGATTCGATCAGACTGTATCAACAACGATTTCTTGTTTTAATATTCTTATGACGATGTTACAAGTGACCTAGCAATGCGACGACTAGTGGAAAAACTGACACCTAAAAACATAACGAGTCTTGAATAAAGAATCAATATGCAAATGATAGTCACACGCTACGTGACAACTGTAACATAACAAAAGTCTCTTTAACAAAGTCCATAGTACGATGCTGGAGAAGAGTCCAGGTGACTATTCTTTCTGGTGACTGAAGATGTCTGCAAAACGTGCMATGATGGGCCGTTTCACTCCGAAATATCCCCAACTAGACCAGCAAGTGATGGAGTGGTTTTCACAGCAAAGAGAACAAGGTTGGTATTTACTTTTCTGTCTAAAATTTTAAGAGTTTTTGAAGAGTTGAATGATATCGTCTTTCAGTGCGTGGGAAACAGAGACTTTGATTGGTCAGAAATATGTTGTTGTCATGACAATTTCATAACATGTCACGAAAAGAGTGCTGCAGTCACGAATCTACGGTTATCTCGCAGCAAAATAAGATTGTTATTTTATTTTTCGTAGGTATTGCGGTGAGTGGATTGATCCTTCGCCTTAAAGCTAAAGAGCTCTCCGATGATCCTGCTTTCAAAGCTTCCCGTGGATGGTACGAGAAATGGAAACGACGCCACTCGGTCAGCATGCGAACCAAAACAACTCTGGCCCAGCGATTGCCCGCCGATCTCGAAGAGAACATTGTGTGCTTTCATCGCTTCGTCATTGCAGCAAGAAGACGCGCCGACTACCCTTTATCCCGCATCTACAACATGGATGAGACACCCATGCGTTTTGAGCTGCCATCGAACCGAACACTGGAATTCAGTGGAAGCCGAACAGTGCCAGTAAAATCTTGCGGAGCGGAAAAGCGGAGCTTCACCGTCGTTCTTGCTGTTGCTGCCGATGGAGCAAAGGTGCCACCGAAAGTCATCTTCAAAGGCGTCCGTACACCGAGAGATCTGGTTGTGCCGCATCCTCTTCGTGTTTCCTTCCATAAGAAAGGGTGGATGGATGAACAGGGCATCCGAGAATGGATTCGACAGAGTTTGCCCCGTGCCGAGCGTTCCCTTTTGGTGTGGGACTCATTCCGAGCTCACTTGACCGATTCCGTGAAAGATGACCTGAAGCAGCGAAACATTGACGTCGCAGTTATCCCTGGTGGCCTAACCCCGGTTGTACAGCCCTTGGATAAGTGCCTAAACAAGCCATTTAAAGATAATGTGCGCCGAAAGTACTTGGCGTGGATGACATCTGGGCCATTTGAGTTTACCCCAGCTGGGAAGAAGAAGGCGCCAAGCAGAAATCTTGTCCTCAGGTGGATCAAGGAAGCATGGGCAGAGATACCCGAAGAGATGGTTGTCAAATCCTTCTAGATTTCCCGCCGACCTCGAAGAGAACATTGTGTGGTTTCATTGCTTCGTCATTGCAGCAAGAAAACATGCTGACTACCCTTTATCCCACATCTACAACATGGATGAGACACCCATGTGTTTTGAGCTGCCATCAAACCAAACACTGGAATTCAGTGGGAGCCGAACAGTGCCAGTAAAATCTAGCGGAGCGGAAAAGCAGAGCTTCACCGTCATTCTTGCTGTTGCTGCCAATGGAGCAAAGGTGCCCCCGAAGGTCACCTTCAAAGTGTCCGTACACCGAGAGATCTGGTTGTGCCGCGGCCTCTTCGTGTTTCCTTCCATAAGGAAGGTGGATGGATGAACAAGGCATCTGAGAATGGTTTCGAGAGAGTTTGCTGCATGCTGAGCCTTCCCTTTTGGTGTGGGACTCATTCCGAGCTCACTCGATCGATTCCATGAAAGATGACCTGAAGCAGCGAATCATTGACGTCGCAGTTATCCCTGGAGGCTTAACCCGGGTTGTACAGCCCTTGAATAAGTGCCTAAACAAGCCATTTAAAGATAATGTGCGCCGAAAGTACTTGGCATGGATGACATCTGGGCCATTTGAGTTTAACCCGGCTGAGAAGGAGGCGCAAAGTAGAAATCTTGTCCTCAGGTGGATCAAGGAAGCATGGGCAGAGATACCCTAAGAGATGGTCATCAAATCCTTTAAGACCTGCGGTATTTCCAATGCCTTGGACAAAACAGAGGATGACGTGATCTACTCTGAGGAAACCCCAGAAGTAGATGATGAAGACATGGAAGACAACCAGTTCGAGACAGACAGCGAAAACGAAATGGTTGGCGAGTAAATCACTGGGTTGAAAACCCTTGTACATGTCTGTCAAAAGGCTCCTTCAGGAGCCACCAATTTCATAAAAGTGAATAACCAATATTGAGAAGTTATTTTTGTTGTGTTTTATTACTTTTGCTTCATTGCTAACTTGACTACAAGCCAGGGGGTAAAAGTTAGTCAGCAACTGTATATTTTTAAAATCTAAAACCCTCAGCTACAAGCCAAACCTCGTTCTTGGTGGAAAATCTCCCAAAATTTTGGGTCGAAAACTAAAAAAATTGCTCGGCTTACAGGTGAAGAAATACAGTAAGTTATACGACTCTGAAGAAGCTAGCAGCACCAGTAAAGCGGTAAATCACAGTACAGTTACATCTAAATGCCTGTTTCCCTTGCTTGCTGTCCTCACAAATTAAAAAGTTACTTTGGTTTCTGGTTATAATCAGACTATATCACATACCAGGTCCATCCCATGCCTCCATAGTACAGGAAATCCAATGGTAAAAATCCTGTTTTTCTTTATTCATTAAACCATTGCCTTGCCATGCTTCAGGAACCATGGTCATGATAGCCTAGGAGATAACAACACCAGCAATAAATACATACAGAACAGATGATCATGGTATAATTTAAGGAAAAAAGGCTGTACCTTCTAATAGAAAAAAAAAAAAAAAAACAGATGCATGCATGTAAGTCTATGAATGTCCCTTTTTATACCTTTTCACCAACAAATTCTCAGAACAAATTCTCTATACAGCATGTCACACATTCCTTAAAATTAAACAAGTAGCTATGTGAATTTCCTGTTAAATCATCTTATGTTGCTCAGTTAATATTTTCCACTTTCCTCATCACCCTTTTACTTCACAGTGAAAAAAAGGAGTAAAGTTACTTAGTAGTCACCTCTCGGAGTAAAAGAGTGAAATAAAGATGTCAAGATGTAATGAGTCTTTCCTATATACAGGTTAAAACTACCATCTTCTGGTAGAGTATTACATTCACATTAATCAATAACCCAAGAGAAACCTTGGCAACCTGACTTGGAATGTACAAATGGTGACACAACTCCTATAATACAGTGACATTCAACCTCTTTCAGAAAGATACGCCCCCTAAGTTGCTAAATTTCACATAAGGGAATACATTGCAGGGGATTTTAAGAGTATTGTATTGTACCTCTGGAAGGGAACGTCCTCCAGCCATGACAAGAAGTTCCAAAACATTATCCACATTTCCTGAGTCTGACAAGTCTGCTTCTATCACAGGAAATAGCCTGATGAAGTTGAGGAACAAAAATCAGTTCACACAAACTTACAATTTATTTTATGCTCACTGTAGCCATGTGTTACTTAGTCACAAGTCTACAAATTCACTTTCCAGCTTAGCAGTTCTAGAGAATTTTTTTGAAAATGGAAGCCTTTGGCTGTTCCTACAGAATGTTAATGGATCTTTGACTCTTTTTAAAGCAAGGTCTTTCTTAAGCCATTACTTTCAAAAGACTTGTTACATACGTAGAGTAAAGTGCTGCTTCAATATCCTTACTTTTGGGTGTTGCTGCCAAAGTACTTGCTGAACATGGTGCCTTCTCTTGTGTTCATGTTGTTGATGTTGCCTCTTATTGTGTTGATCTCTCCATTGTGCGCCAGATATCTGTCAAAAAGAGTCATCATCATGATCACTATTATCTTTCCCCATCTCATCTCCACAGAAAGGGGCAGGGTATACTAGATACTTGTAAAAAAAAACTTCTCACAATTAAATAAGACATTGAGAAGTTTGCTCCAAGGTTATTTTCCACCTGTCTCGCCTCCGCCAGAGGGTGCATAATCACATCAAGATTATATCCAAACCCCAGCAGTGACCAACACTCTCACTAAATATAATCATATCTCTCTCACCATCATTATCATTTTCGTCATCACTATCATCATCATCTTTTTCAACATTCTTGTCATCATCATCAATATCACTATTGCATCTCTTCCACTACCCATGCGATGGTCACATTTCAACCTTCACATCATATTAACCCTTTAACCCTTTAGAGTGATGAGCATCTAAATTCTCCTATAAGAAGCACCCCTGAATCAAACATTAAGGACATGAGAATAAATGAAAAATGATAATAAACTCAAGAAGATCTTGATTGGTAAAAAAAATTCTCCTTGTAAAATATATCATAGGAAAGGTACAGAGATCAGTATTGAGAACAGAACTGATGTTATGGTGTAAAAGGTTTCAAAACATAAATAAACACAAATATTCATGAAATAAAGTTGCAGGACACAAACCTGTTTGGATGAGCCCTCTCCCAGCTTGGAAATGTGTTTGTGGAAAATCTTCCATGAACCAAAGCAAAATGGGTCCTATCCAAGACAAATAGAGACACAATTACGATAATCACAATATTGCTGTCTTACTTTTTCTGCAAATGCCTCCCCTTTTCAAAATGTAAGAGCAGTCGGAAATGGGCTATTGAATTACTTCAAAGCATTAAATAAATTAAAGAGAATTAAAAGTGAAAAGATTAATTTGAAAGTCATGATTGAACATGCTGTACATCAACATATGCAACTCCAAGACAAATATTGTATTGTTTGATAAACAAAAAGTGAAGTTAAGAAATTGTATCGATTATCATGGGCTGTTGTAATATTGTATAGCAATATTCTCACCAGTAATCTTTACATTGGAGATCAAGATAGAATCCTTGAAGTTGATCTGGCTTTAACATTCCCTGAGATCACAAAAAAAAAAATTGTGGTTATTTTCTTTAATGTTGAATCATTTCAACCCCTTACTCTGACAAACCAAATAAGTTTATTAGCCCAAAAATTTTGAGAGCAATATTTTTCATAGTAAGTACCTTGTAAACAATAGTATCACAGGATAAACTGCAAACGTAGAACCGCCTGTTTTTTGTGCCAATTCTATTTGTAGCCATTTTTCTCAAGAGATAAACCTGAAAATTCAAGACATGATCAATAAATGTCAATCACTGAGTAAACATAAGCTCCAAATTGTCTGAGATCTTCCTAACTTCCTAGCATAATTTCCTCTGCTTGTGAAGAAGCCACTAAACTATGGTTTGTTA